AATATTTTGTTCATGTTGTTGTTGTTGTTAAGTGCCTTTGGGTCATTTCTGACCCATAGCAACCCTGTATAGGGTTTCTGAGGAGCAGACGTGAGCTTGAACCACCAACCTTGCAGTTCAAACCTACTTTGCAGTCTGGTGCATTAACTCACAGTGCCACACCAGGGCCCCATTCATAGAAGCCTTCAATATTGCAAGTCAAGGCTTGAATATTTTTCTTCAGTTCCCTCAGCTTGAGAAATGCTGTGCGTGTTTTTTCCTTTTAGCTTTCTAACTCCAGGTCTTTTCACATTTCGTTACCATATTTGACTTTGTCTTCTCTAGCTGAAATTTTCTATTCAGCTGTTTTACTTCCTCATTTCTTCCATTTGCATTAGCATCTCTACACTGGAGAGCAAATTTCAGAGTCTTTTCTGACATCCATTTTAGTTTTTTCCTTCTTTCTTTTCTTCTTAATGACCTTTTGCTTTCTTCCTGTATGATGTTCTTGATATCATCCCAAAAGTATTCTGGTCTTCGGTCTTTAGTGTCTAATGCATTAAATCTGTTCTTCAGATGATCTCTAAATTCGGGAACATATGCTCAAAGTCCTAGTGTGGATAGGATAAGTACTGGACTGTAAACCACAAGGTTGGCAGTTCAAACCCACCAACTGCTTCTTGGAAATCCTATACAAGGTATCTATGAGTTGGCATCGACTCAACAGCACTTAACAATTACAACAATAAATGTTTAAGGTAATAACTTGGCTCCTGTGGACTTGTTTTAATTTTCTTCAGCTTCAGCCATTTGCATTTGAGCAACTTACTGCTTCACAGTTTGCCCCTGGCCTTATTTGTTTTTTTTAAAAAAGGTTTGTTGTGAATTATGTGATAGTTTACATGGGAGAACATTAGTTTTATATCCATCCTATCGTATATCGTTTCATTGCCATGGTTACAATCCCCTCCATGCATCATCAACCAACCAAAGAGTATACACTACAAGCCTGCACCCCGGTCGTCAGCACACAGCCCCTCTCCCTCTCTGGGTCTAAAGTCCCCAGATGCTCCATCTCTCCACGTCATCGTCTCTGCCTGCATCTCAGGCATCACTACTTTTCTGGGTAGGGTCCCACTCTCTGCTCTTCTCCCTTGATGGTCCCAGGGACCTCCGCTCCTAGACTGAAAAGTTAATCACTCCCCTCCTTGCTACAAAACGTCTACCTTTACATTTCCAACCCTCACAGGCAGTCTTGATAACA